TTCTTCCTCATCCTCATCTCTAACCTTTCCATAAACACTATAATCCTCACCATTCTCGTCCGCTTCAGCAACATTAGAGCAAACAGAGATTTCAGCATCCTCCTCCTTATCATCCTCCTCATTATCATCCTCCTCCCCATCATCCTCCTCCTTATCATCCTCCTCCTTATCATCCTCCTCCCCATCATGATTTTCATCTTCAAAACATTCATCAGCTTCTTCCCTTTTCTCTGAAACCGTTCCCACCTTGCTACGGCTTGATACACAAAGACATACTCTATGAGTTTTGAGTATCTCGAGCAAGTTATGAACTTGTCTATCACTTGTAACATGAATGGGATAGGTGTCTGGAGCCATCATCATTTCTGCTGGTAATGAGTATCTAATCTCCACAGTGACTGTGCTCATGTCTAGGTTATAATCTTCTTGTGCCATTGCAACAAGTTCAGCATGTGTTGAATCTTCATTCAATAAAAACAATCTTGCTCCTTTGAGATCATCAACCACAAAATCTCAACGGCAATGTTTCAACAACCATTCTCCATACACTGCATGTAACTGACGAATCATCTGCAAAAATTCAAAATAAAACACATTAGTAAACATAGAGAATTTCATGAAAGTTTACTAAACATCGTCTGGACGACTTACTTCTAAGTCGCCCATTGAGGTCATTTTTGCAATTGAAATTTAAATTGGACGACTTACTTCTAAGTCGCCCAACTTTGTTTGTTAAAAAAAAATGCCAGAGAACTTATAATTAAGTCGTCTAGGTAAAACGGGCTACTTTTGCATTTGACCGAATTGTGTCAGATATTTGACTTTTTCTGGACGACTTCAAATTAAGTCGTCTATGGGAAAGTTAAAATATCAATATTTTATTTTATCCAGACGACTTACGGATAAGTCGTCTCAGGTTAGTTTTGCAATTCAAAAATAAAACTTAAATTTTTAACTTCTCCAGACGACTTAATTAGAAGTCGTCTGATCAGACGACTTATGTTAAAGTCGTCCAGAATAAGCAAGGTTTGACCAGAAAACTCNAAGTCGTCTATGGGAAAGTTAAAATATCAATATTTTATTTTATCCAGACGACTTACGGATAAGTCGTCTCAGGTTAGTTTTGCAATTCAAAAATAAAACTTAAATTTTTAACTTCTCCAGACGACTTAATTAGAAGTCGTCTGATCAGACGACTTATGTTAAAGTCGTCCAGAATAAGCAAGGTTTGACCAGAAAACTCAAAAAATATTCTGGACGACTTTGATTATCCTGGACGACTTTAACCTAAGTCGTCTGACCGGTCGACTTTTAATTAAGTCGTCTGGAGAAGTTAAAAAATTAAGTTTTATTTTTGAATTGCAAAACTAACCTTAGACGACTTATCCGTAAGTCGTCTAGATTTAATAAAATATTGAAATTTTAAATTTCCTAGGGACGACTTAATTTTAAGTCGTCCAGAAAAAGTCAAATATCTGACACAATTCAGTCAAAAGCAAAAGTAGATCGTTTTATCTAGACGACTTAATTATAAGTCGTCTAGTGTTTTTTGTTTAACAAACAAAGTTGGACGACTTAGAAGTAAGTCGTCCGTTTGACCAGAAGACTTATCCGTAAGTCTTCTACATCCAGAAGACTTACGGGTAAGTCTTCTACGCGAAGAGATCTGGAAAAAAGTTAAATTTCAAACCTTAAACTAGGTGAGATGACTTCCTTTGCACACAGAGTCTTCTCCAACCACCCAGAACATTGAACGAAAGTAACCCACCAACAATTGTATGCTTAAATGGCTCTATCAACCATAAAAAAAACAAGATGAGTTAAAAGAAGAAGTTAGTTTTGTGTTTGACCATGAGTTTTGAGTCAAATTTGCAAAAACCCCTAGTTTTTTCCTATAAAAAATTTAAGACAAATAATTAAAAACTGATCACAAATGCAATTTTGCACTATTTTAACTATCTTCATTCATGTCTGAAAACTATCATCCGTTGGTAGGTTTTTCTTTTCAGATTCAGAAAAATTGATCTATTAGTTTTCTGATTGATTTTAAGAATTAGTCTACTTCTAAATATATAATTACTTGTTAAAGGTATTCAAAGATCATGAACATAGATTAATCATAAACAGTTTATTGGAATTGAATCAATGAATTATAATCATTTCTAATTTAGTAAAATAGTATAAGCAAAAGAAAAGAGTATAACAAAAAAAATAGAAAAGTAATCTGTAATTTATCAAAAAAATATTTGTTGAGCATGAAAATCTCGCAGTCAAACGTTTGTCCAAAAAGAAATACAAATCATCTATCTTTTTTTTCAAATTCGCTCATGTGTTTTTTTATATTAATTGTTTGGGCTAATGTAATTTGAGTTTAGTACAAATATGTAACTAAAATTGAAGATTAAAATGTTTTCTTATATATCTAAAATCAATAAATCTAATGTTTAACAAATAAAAATATATATTCATATTATTTATATAATTAAAACTATCTTTTAGTATGCTTTGTAATTAATTGAGTAGGATCATAATTTTGTGGAGACAAATTTTATTTTCCAATGGTGTCAATAAAAAAAAATTAAACAAAAACAAATATATTTAAAAAATAGTGGGATCAACTGAGCCAGTAATCTTTCATTGCCTCCGCGACTGCATCCCACCACGCTCCAAAGGTTCACTCTAAACTTACATCAAACGTATACGTTTTTTACCGTTATCCATTACGGACCAACCAATTATAATCCAACAATATAATGCTCCTTATTCACAACCTGAGCGGGCGTCTGAGGGAGCAACTGACAATTATTACTCTTAGAAATACAGAAGAACTTGTAGGTGACTTCAGGTACATCTCTAACAAAGGCACCTCCCAAGAGCTTCGTAATGATCAGGGGGTTCTAGGATCTGGGAGGAGGGATGAACAGAAAAAGAGTGAAGCCTTGTGTAAATAGAGCTTATCTGAAAACAAAATAAAGGAGTTGATCTTTTGTAGATTTTAAGTTTTTGCAGTATCTTCAGTGAAATCAGGATTTTTAAGAAAAAAATTAATGAGTAAAAGAAAGCTATTTGAGTTTGGATTCTGGCCACTAAATCCATGAGAATAAAGAAGAAATAAGGAATGTAAACATTAGGTAAGCTTTTTTTTCTGGGGTTACGATTAAAACAAAAAGTATGAAGCTGTTTTACATCCAGAAAACAAACAAAATCAGGGTCCAAATTAAGCCCGAGAAAACGTTCAGACACACTGCAAAGCGAAGTGATGCTGTGGCTGCTGCTTAGTGAAGGCTGCGCATGATGCCATGTATGTATCCTCCAGTCATAATGAAAGACATGAAGGACACGACTCCAGCCGGAAATATCTTCTTGGAACCCATGTACCGAGTTCCCATCACCCAAGTTAATGCACCCGCCATCACTTGTTAACAGAAGAGTTTAGGGGTTATGAGAGAATATAGTTTCATTCATGGAGAAAAAATAGCCTGCTACTGGATATACCTTACCTACACCAATGGTCGAAGCAAGAACAGGTTTAGTCGGGAGCTCACGGAAGACAAAGAGCAGAACAGCAGCTGAAAGTCCACCCGCAAGCAGCGATTTCTGGCTACCGCTCTTCAGATAACCCATCAGCCCACCAACTGAGTAAAAACACCCCCAAGTTTCAGACATACTGTTAAAGTTTAACTGGAGCATTTGTAGACAAGTATAACAGATTGAATACATTTCATAACTCAAGTTCGTATTTTAGTTAAGAGACTAAACTGATAGCTAAATCATACAAGTGAGAGGAATCCAATTCAAAACATACCGATCTGTGAAGAATATTGCTATCAATTTTGAGAAGCAAGTCTAAAAAACCCAAAAAGTGAATCTGACCTCCGACAAGGAAAGCGTAACCAAGAGTCAACTTCTGCGACATAGACAAAGGCGTCTTTCCACCACTCTCCTCCTCGCCGCCGTCTTCTCCTTCGCCATTATCATCGCCGCCTCCCCCACCGCCACCAAACTTGTCCCCTCCAATTCCACCACCACCTCCTCCCCCGATCGCAGGTTCAACTTCAACAGCTTTGGCTCCCGAATCAACGCAGTTGACAGTAAAAGTAGTGATCGTCTTGGTCGAATCCGCACTGAGGGTGAGTCTTTGGTTACCAGATTTGAACGCTAAAGGATGAAAACCGTTGGAATTAGTGAAGGCGATACTTCGGATCGGTGAAGCAGAGGAGTTCTTGAACGAGGGGAGTCTGGGTCTGACATTAAGGAGAGAAGACTGCGCCGACGAACTCAAAAGCAACTGGGCCATTTTCTTCTTCTTGGTTTAACAACTAATTTGCTCACAAGTCAAAGGGATCGCGATTCTTTAAATGGTGGCTAAAAGAAGAACAAATACGCGTTTTGGGCGAAGACTCTTTCTGCGTTAGGGTCTTTCGTCTATGCATGCCAAGACAATTTCTAAAATTCTTAATACTTTTCTTTCTTTTTTTTTGGTATGAATGTTAAATTTTCTACCAACTTAGTTTTTTTGACAGAAGTAACAATGAAAACAAATAGCAGAAAAATAAAACAACTAAACAACACCAAAATACAAAAGGAAAACACAGCAACAAGTAGGAATACAAAAAACTGATACCAATCATGAATAACACAATACACTTTGCACTAAGCTAAGAGATGGAGTCTCATTGTTCATGTGACTGCTAAGTTGCTGCGAGTTTATGGAGGATTGGCCAGCCCTCAAAACCCCTCCAGACCTACAGCTTCATCACATACATGCCTTTGATAACCTGCAAAATTAGCTCATAAAACTTCCAAGGGTCACAATGGCTCAAACGAATGCATTCGGAGTGAACGGTTCGGCCCAAACAAATGCATTCGGAGTCAACGGTTCAACCACCAGAGATCCGTGAAATGTCATGAATTTTATACATTTTCAACCATGATATAAATATGTTTTCAAAGTACTTTATCGACATTTGGAGTCTTTTTAGAGCAATTACAGGTTTAGGTACTTGTTTGGAGAAAATAATTTTTTTGGGACATTTTGGAAACTTTAAGAGAGCTTCTGTCGAGATGAAGAATCGATGGACGCTTGAAGATCCATATCGATTAATGATCGACAATTATAATCGATCGACGCAAATCCATTGCCATCGACGCCGAAACCATCCGAGGCTTAATGATAAATTAGAAGATTTCAAGTTTCACAAAAGTTTCATTAATTACATCTTAAGTCACTGGCCGCCTGTTAGGCTATATCATTTGGGTTTTGTACTACTTTAGAAGCAGGCTTGCTTAGAGACCTTCTAGACCTAGTTTGGTGAAAAGCAACTTTGATTACCATTGAAAAGAGAGCTTAGGATTATGGAGAGACAGATCTGATACTACAAAACATAAAAGATCTTGAACTCCCTTGCTTCTATTACTTTTTATCTCTTCTTGTTTCTTATTTTTATATAAGTTTTATTCATACCATCATAACTATGTCTCTTATGAATATGTTTGAGTAATCTTATTGTTAGATTTAGGTTTCTCATAAGGTTGATTTATGTATTAATAATATGACTGATGTTAAGGTGTTTTAATTTAGTTCTTCAACCTAGTTGTACTTAATGCTAAATTTAGGATTGATCACCCTTAAATTTAGATCTTAGTATTAATTAAGATAAGCAATAGCATCCCTCAATACCTGAACTAAACTAGTTTGATCTAACTGACTAGATTCACATGAGAGTTGGTCTAGTAAGTTAGAGAACAACATCAAACCCACTCACAAAGCTTGCTAGAAGAGCTGTCGATTGACACGACTATCGTTGTGTCGATCGATATCTTGAAAGGTGTATTGATCGATGTTCATAAGGACATATCGGTCGACACTTTCTCGTGATCAATAAACGATAGTTGAGATCCGAGATCTAGACAAAGAAAACCTATTTGGTTTCACTTATAAGTTTGAGTTCGTGAACAATTAAACCCTTAAAGTCCAAATTAAGGCACATAACTTTCATACCTGAGATAGTACCGGATTATAGACTAATCACAACTTCAAATCAAGCTACCGAACAACTACCTTATTCACCTCATTTTATTTACTGTTTTAAACCAATAAACCAATTCCAGTCTAGCTTTATTTCAAATACTATAATCTATTATGTAATTGTCGAGTCTCCGTGGATTTGATCCCTAAATATTACAACTGAACCTCTTATTTGAGAGAGTAATTCACTCCTTAGGGTAAGTTGAGTGATATCGAATTTGGCGCTGTTTCCAGGGACTCTTTCTTATTACCATTAGATTTAGTTTAGAATATAGTTAAGACTTTGTTACTAAAAGTTGCGAAGTTTTTTTTTCTTTACCTGCTTACACAGGTACTCAAGATTCGAGAATATGGTTTTTGACCGAGCATCGATCGACGCGTAAATGATGGAATCGAGCGATGTTTCGATGAAGAAATCGATCGACACACATACGCGAACATCGATCGACAATACCCCACCGGAAGCAAGTAAGTCTTCGTTTACCACACCTGCTAATGATAAAGTAGGCCAAATTGAACCAATAGGTCAAATAAGGAATGCAATTAGCCAAACTAAAAATAAACAGGGGACCAAAATCACTGTTATAATCAATTCCACCTTGAATAAAGGTGAAGAAATAATATTTCCTTTGAAAGACTACTTAAATCCTGGTAGGACCTATTCCAATAGGTCCGCTATTAAGATACCAGAAGACGATACCAAGAAATCTGAGCTTAACTCCGATTACTTATGGTACGTCGAAACCCCTTTCGTGGATTCATCTCAGAGCATCCACAAGACCATCAAAAATTTAGAAGATTTAATGCCAGATGAGTACAATCGATGCAAAATCTTCTCTTTTTCTTTAAAAGGAGAAGCCAAGAAGTGGCTAAATCGATTACCAGCAGGATCCCTTACCTGCTGAAAATAAATTAGAGATGCTTTCCTTAAGAATTTTTTTGATGATGCGCGCTACTGGGATGTGAGGGAGAAAATTTCTACCTTCCGCCAAAATCCACGAGAATCTTTCAGAAATGCCTGGGGAAGATTCAAGAGTTACCAACTTGAGTGCCCCCACCATGGTTATCTAGAATCAAAATTTCTTAACATCTCTTATGGAGGTGATAGCCTGCACTATCAGAGTACCCGAAATCCCAAAGAAGCAAGACGTCTTATTGAGAATATAGCAGCAATGAAATCTTATAAGATGATGGACGAAGAGATAGGGATAGTAGTAGACTCAATAGCTAACCCAGATTTAGCTGAGATTAAAAATTCCCTAGACTCCCCTCCATTCCTTTCTTACAAAGCAGAAAAAGTCTGAGATATTTCAGATTGATGATGATGTTCTCTCTTATACAGATGAACAGGTAAACTACGTACATGGATAGAACAGACCTTTTAGATCTTTATCCTACACTTATCACCGATAGTTTCACTCAAAACTATGACGCTACTGTAAGATCACTTAAAGAAAGAGAAAGATTTACTCTAGACCATGCCTTCACAGGGAATCGAAGGTTAAGTGCTGTTTTCAACAAAAAGATGAATATCATCTACGTGGAGTTGATGAAGAAAGTAGATACTTTGCGTGATCTCATTCAAAAATTAGAAAGTCAAGACAATAGATAAAACAGACCTTCTAGTGTTGATAAGCCCACAAACATTGGGGAGACAGGTAAAATAAATTCCCATCCTATACTTCTCAATGAGACCCAAACCCATAATCCTCTCATCAAAAGAAAAATCAGTCGCTGAAAAAACTAAGGAGACGACGATGGATTTGCAAGAAGAGGCCGAAATCGGTCGACAGGAAGGTAACCGCATCGATAGACCCGACTCATAGCGAACCGATGATAAAAAGGGTTTATAAAAGCTTAGCCCCTTTTCCTCTCACTAAATCGCAAACTAAAAAAAAAGAGTTTGAGAAAGCTATATGTAAGAAAGCAATCGATAAGATCACTATATAGATGCCACTCAGTGATGCCATCGATTTGGCACCTTCCACTAAGAAATATGTGAAGGATATGATGTCTACAAGCTATCAGACTACAGAGCACAACCTGATCCATAATTCAAGGAGAAACTCCGGTCAAACAACCTGAATCTGAAGGAAGTATTGAAGAAAGAAATTATTAAACTTTTAGATGCTAGAGTCATCTACCCAATTTCAGATAGTAAGCGGGCGAGTCCTGTACATGTTGTACCCAAGAAGAGAGGTATTACGGTGCTGAAGAACGACAAGGACGAATTAAATCCCATGAGAACCGTTACTGGACATCGGATGTGTATTGACTATAGGAAGCTAAACGCCGCCACTAGAAAAGATCACTTTCCCTTACCTTTCATCGATCAAATGTTGGAAAGATTAGCAAATCACCAATATTATTGTTTTCTTGACGGATTTTTTGGATTTTTCCAGATCCCTATACATCCTAACGATCAAGAAAAGACCACCTTACATGCCCTTATGGAACATTTGCATATCGCAAGATGCCATTTGGTCTATGTAATGCTCCTGCTACTTTCCAATGATGCATGATGTCGATCTTTACAGACATGATTGAGGACTTTATGGAGGTTTTTATGGACGACTTCTCAGTGTACGGATCGAGTTTTAAAATCTGTCTCGATTTTGTGCAAAGTATTGACAAGATGTGAGCAAAAGAACCTTGTGCTCAACTGGAAAAAATGCCATTTCATGATTAACGATGGCATTGAACTGGGTCACAAAGTTTCTGCTTCTGGTATAGAAGTGGACCAAGCTAAGACTGAGGTAATGACCAGTTTACCAGCACCTACAAACGTAAAGGACATTAGAAGCTTTCTCGGACACACTGGATTTTATAGGAGTTTTATTCAAGATTTTAGATAAAAATCTAGGCCTCTTACTGCCCTCTTAAGCAAGGAAGTCAAATTTGAATTTACACCTGAATGCATGAAAGTTTTCAAAGAAATATAAAAAATCTCTTATAACTGCCCCCGTCGTACAAGCACCCGATTGGAATCTTCCTTTCGAGATAATGTGTGATGCAAGCGATTTCGCCGTAGGAGCGGTTTTAGGGCAGAGAAAATATAGAAAGCTTCAAGCCATATATTACGTCAGTCGAACGCTATTAGAGGCACAAAAGAGCTATGCATCAACAGAAAAAGAACTACTTGCTGTTGTTTATGCATTTGAGAAATTCCGAGAGTGTCTGGTTGGTTCATTAGTAATCGTTTATGCGCTTCAAGTCGGTCATGAAAAAGTCAGCTCATCTACTCGCTTTGGTGTTGATTGATACCAAGAAGGTAGTGTCGAT